CACACCTCCCCACGTGCAATCATCATCCTTTGAGTCCCTGACCACCAGAATTCAGCCTCATCAACTAGTAAGTATTTCCCGAATGTCAATTTCCTGTCTTCCGGGCATAAGGTAGCCTCAAAAATCTTCTCCACTTCACGCAGCCACTTCTCTGCTGCATCTGGACCCAAATATCCTCCAAAACGAGGCGGATTATGCCTCATGAACTCAGTCAGCCCCATCTGCTCTGATTGGTGATATCTAGCAGAGGATGGTGCCATAGTTGGCCTCCACTGCGGGTGGTAGCCTGCTGCTGCATGGCAGCTGCCAACATTTCCATTGCCCTGGCTAGGGCATCTACACTCGGTGGAGTAGGAGTAGGAGTAGGAGGTCGCGGTGCCATCCTATATCAAACGCAACCATCAATACAAAACAAACATTCACGCACTCACAATCAGAGTATAATCACAACAGACTTATCATAGGTTCACTACCCATCCCCACAGATTTACAAGGATACTACTGCTCTGATACCACTATTGTAACGACCCTAGAAATCGCTGCTATAATGATGTCTTCGCAAAGTAGTAAACAAGTAAATAACAACATCTATTTTACATTATATTACTGTAATTGTAACATATATTGAAATTTCAGTTCACTAATAGAACTTCAAAATATAGTAACATAATTTATTTATATATTATATGTGTAAAAGTAGCTCCCTCGAAGCTATCCCACTGAACTATCCCTGTTGTCCAGTAGTCACATCACCATCTCTCAACTCCTGATCTGCTCCCACATAAAAGTGATCATCGCAGTCCCATCCACATGGAAAAATAGGGGTAAGTATTAAATCATTCGATATAATAAAACGAGATATAGAAGTAATAATTATATATTATGATCAATTACGAAATTATCAACACACTAAGACACCTTCCGGAAGTATACCCTAACTATGCCCGAACTCGAGGCTATCATCTGTGGGCACATTGTGATCGGTACCGCGAGTACCATTCCGACCACCCTCCACACGAGTAGGATTACTGGCGCCCTTCATCACTCATACTGGAGTACCCCTCCGAGCGCGCCACCAGTCATCCCCCCATCGACTTCTCACCACCTGATCTCGTAGTCTACCTGACCCGACCAATCAGTGAATTCTGGGACCTCATTCAGAATCCTCCGACATAGTTATTACACTAATGTACTTTGTACCACCCCGGGTACCATTCAAACATATAAAATACCACTATTGTAACGACCCTAGAAATCGCTACTATAATGATGTCTTCGCAAAGTAGTAAACAAATAAATAACATCTATTTTACATTATATTACTGTAATTGTAACATATATTGAAATTCCAGTTCACTAACGAACTTCAAAATATAGTAACATAATTTATTTATATATTATACATGTAAAAGTAGCTCCCTCGAAGCTATCCCACTGAACTATCCCTGCTGTCCGAGTAGTCACATCACCATCTCTCAACTCCCGATCTGCTCCCACATAAAAGTGATCATCGCGAGTCCCATCCACATGGAAAAATAGGGGTAAGTATTAAATCATTCGATATAATAAAACAGATATAGAAGTAATAATTATATATTATGATCAATTACGAAATTATCAACACACTAAGACACCTTCCGGAAATATACCCTAACTATGCCCGAACTCAGAGGCTATCATCCGTGGGCACATTGTGATCGGTACCGCAGTACCATTCCGACCACCCTCCACACGAGTAGGATTACTGGCGCCCTTCATCACTCATACTGGAGTACCCCTCCGAGCGCACCACCAGTCATCCCCCCATCGACTTCTCACCACCTGATCTCGTAGTCTACCTGACCCGACCAATCAGTGAAGTCTGGGACCTCATTCAGAATCATCCGACATAGTTATTACACTAATGTACTCTGTACCACCTCGGGTACCATTCAAACATACAAAATTTATTCACATTTGCCGGATTATGGACCACGTGTCCTCACGGCTCATTCGGGTCAATAAAAATAGTATTTGACTGATTCTGGCACCAACCTTCTAGCTCAGTCTAGCCAATATATAACGTCTCAGGACTGATTCTGGGCATCAGCCCTCAAGCTTAGTCTGACCCACACACGTCACAACACTCTACTTTCATTCTCTCTCTTTATATATATATATATATATATATATATATATATATATATATATATATATATATATATTTTTTTTTTTTTTCTTAAAATCATTTCAGAAATCATTTCAGAAACTATTTCAGAAACTATTTCAGAAACTATTTTCGAAATCATTTTCGAAATCATTAAATTACTATTTTGCCCTTAATCTTTTCTTAAAATTCCATGTATGTCCCTAAATGACTATTTTACCCTTGAACATTTTTGAAAATTCCATTTATGTCCTCGTGATGTAAAATGACTAGTTTACCCTTGATCTTTTTAAAAAAATTCTCACCATATCCCTTTCTTCTTCCTTCGCTCGCTCAAGCGAGTACACCGTCGCTTGAGCGATCTGAGAACCCGAGAGTCCCCTTTGTTTGAAGGCTTCGTCGCTCAAGCGAGTACACCGGTCGCTCAAGCGAGTACACTGGTCGCTTGAGCGAGACATGACCCGAGAGTCCCAAATTTTCTAGGTGTCCTCGCTCAAGCGATGTATTTTTCGCTTGAGCGACTTTTGCAGATTTTCCAGTTCGCCATTTTCGAAATCCAGATTTCAAATTTCTCAGTTTCAATCACCCAAATTAGTTCCAAATCAAAATTTAACCATAAACATGTTCAATTTAAGTTAAAAACAACAATTTTAGTATATAATTCATCTTTAATTTCAATAATTAAAAAAAAACTTTCAAACGATGAACTGTTCATCAAAATAAAAAATTCTTCAAAATTAGACATTCTTCAAAATTAGACATTCTTCAAAATTAGACATTCCAATACTTCATATATCTACTCCTATTCCTTATTCACAGAGTACCGAACAATTCAATTTCATATATTGAATGAATTAAACTTCCCCTTACTTGGTATGGTATTTCTACCGAAGTTTTCCCACTTAATTCAAGTTCTCTCCCGTTTCACCAGATCCTGCACGAGTAGAGTCTCGTTGCTTGAAATTTAGACAATAGAAGAAGAAGGATGAGAGGAAAATTTTTGATTTCCCTCCTCCCCCGCTTCAGTATTCATATATAAGAAAATTTTTTACTGTGCATGAGAAAAACTTCGTTACGAAGTTTTCTTCCATAGTAATATTAATATAGTATTAAAATAAGGCATACGTCACACAACGTAGAGTAAAAATGAGTAAAGTTGTGAAAACAGACGGCTAACCTTACATTATAGGTCAAGTAAAATAATTGATGATCAAACTTTAACCTATATTTTAAAATAGGTTAAAAAGTTTAGCTTAGTCTAGCCTAAGTTAGACCAAAGGATCAACAAACCAAAATTTGGTTTGATTGATCTTTTTTTATTTTAAATATTAACATATCTATATAAAATTAATTAACTCAAAAAATAAAAAAAATAATTTTCATTAACGAAATTAATTTTTAATTAAGATATACTCGATTTAATATATAAATTATAAGATAATGTATCAATTCAATCTCAAAATAAGAATTAAAAACTTACTATTTATTATCATTATTTACTCTTTTAGTAATTATTTAATTTAAAATAATAATTAATCTTAATCATTAGATATTAGAATAAGTAATTATTAGAGATTTATTATGATATTTATTTTTAAAACAAGTGATTTCTTTGTCAAATTAATTTATAATACATATATATTTTTTAATAAAATAATATTTTTTTTATTATTATTATTCTATAAAATGGGTGGCCCAATAAACCTACGAGCTATCCTAACTAAAGTCCGGCTATATAGGTCATGACCTAAATAGGATAGATCAAAATAAGTCTTATTTAATTTAGGACACAATTTTGTTGACACAGATCTGACCTAATTCTTGAAGTCTTCCAGGTCGTTTCATCGAACTAAACTTATTTTGACACCTTTAAGAATAAGAAATTTTAACAACATATAAAGAATAAATACTCATAATTTAATGCTTCAAGATTTTGAGTTAAAAGGAGGTGTCGATTCTTTATATAGATTGTGTTAATATCTAATTGATGTTGTCTTTCTATCCAGTGAATCTCTCCTCAAGACCCAACAAGTTTATTTATATAATTTATTTTATGTTATTTTTTATTTTTAACTATTAAAAGTTTTATTTTAATATTTATAAAATTAATAAAATAAATAATTAATTGGTATTTTGATGTAAATATTTTTAAATATATTAAATTGTTAAAAAGAAAATATTATTATGTAAATAAGAAAAATTTGAATATATTATATAAGAAAATAAAATTTTACTTTTTAATGGTCGAAATAAACAATTATTACTATGATGATGAATATTTCTTTGACTTATTTAAAACATGTTCATCCATCTCACTGTAAATACAATTTGTTGTTGGTCTTCCTAATTGTTGTCAAAACAAACTTGGATTAAAAATAATTTTTGAACCTAAATAAGAAAATCAATAATTCATAAGCATTGTAAATAATTTCTAGGTTGTATACTAGGTCAACATATGTCAATGTATAAATAATAATATGAACATACAACAATAATGACATGAGAGTAAGAAAGTCGGAGAAATTAAAACTCACTATAAGCACACCAATCATTTAATTTGAGTGTATAGTTTTACTTTAACATCCACTTTTTATAAGTCATATCCAATATATCTTTTTTACTTTAACATCATTTTCTACATATTACTGTCATTTTATTAAAATAAAAATGGAATGATATGCAGGTAAAACAGATAATACAAACAACGATAACAAGACTAAGAACAAAATTTAAACAACCGTTACAATCCCATATTTCAAAATGGTTCTAAACACGAATAACAAGGTTCAAATAAATAAATAAATAAAATTATGATATTGAATTTGATTAGTTTGACTTATCTATTTAAATCGTAATGAACTTGGGACGCATTGATGCGTATTTTATAAAATATTATTTTATTAATATATATACAATATTAATTTATATATAAAATTATTATATATAAATTTAAAATTAATTTGTTAATATAATTTATTTAAAAAATAAAGTTTTATTTTTATATTTTATTTACTATTTTAAGTGGGACTAAAATATCTGATGATCCAACATACAATTAAACAAAATTTTTAAATATAATATATTTAAAAATATAGACTTATTTAATATTCTTAATGTTAAAGGTTTTCAAAACCATAATTAATGTTTTTTTAAGAAAAAGTCATACTAAATTTGAATATTCATGTTGCAACATATACCTAAAATCCTTGATGATATTATAAAATATAGGTAAATATAAGCCAAGCTTCATATTCAATTATTTTGGCTTTCCACTAACACGGAGGAATGTCATCAACAGAAACCTAAGGTCCTCCATCATGCTTTGAAGAAAAATTTGTTTTGATTGAACTAAAGTTGATTTCTTCGTCAGGAGAATCATAAATAGACTCATATCTGACTTATAAGTATTAGTCATTAAAAATTGGGTTAGGTCTACATAATTGGAAACTTTTGTTTTTGAATATTCAGAGGATTATTCTTCAACAAGTATTTTTAGGAGTTCGATTAAGATAAAACTATATGGTCATTTAAGAATATGAATATTACGAATTTTGAAAAATAGAATTAAATAAGTCTTGATGAGTTTGCCTTTTTAGTGATAGTAGAACTTCATGGGTTGATTGTTGAGAAAATGGGTAGATTCTTGAGTAGAACTGGTTTTTTATAATAATATTATAATATTTAGTGAGTATAAATTTCACATTTGGACCATTGACTTATGCATAAATGTAAAGATAATTTAAGAAATTTTAGACCGATATGTACTCAAAGCTAGATGTTGTATGTTCAATTTAATTAAGATCAGTGTTCAAAATAATTGGCACATATAGTTTTTGCTGCTTTATCCCTTTTCCTTGAAGTTTTCTTTTGGCCAGAGAATATGATGAATGTGTTTTGTTTAATGTTTCTCAGCCAAGAATATTGATGGCTATGTCAAGGGATGGATTGCTGCCACCGTTTTTTTCTGACATAAACAAGCGCAGCCAGGTTCCTGTGAAAAGCACAATAGTTACTGGCCTTGTTGCTGCAGTCTTGGCATTTTCAATGGAAGTCTCTGAATTGGCTGGGATGGTAAGTCTACTTGCCACATTCAGGTTCCCTTATTGTTTTTCTTTGAATTTTAAGCTTGAATGTTGTTAAAATATAACTCAATTCAAAATCTTGTGTTATATAGGATCATCATTTCCACACAAATTAAAATACCTTGATAGTCTAGGTGAGCTACAATAACATGGGTCATGCCAAGACCATATATCAGAAAAGGATGATTCAAGTTGTTTTCTTCCTCTCAACCAAAAACAAATACATATATATAATCTCTAATTTACAGAAAAAAAGGAAAATAGAAATATCTAATAGAATCTATTTTCTCGTGGATATACTCTTTCGGTTAAAATCAGTGACCATGCAGTCTTGCATCCACTTTGTCTATTTCCCCTTCCTTTTGGGCCTCACTTAATGTCTGTATTGGTCTTACCATTCAGTCTTTGGTCCAATTCTTCGTAGTCCTGTTTTGAGTCGTCTTCTTTCTCTTGGTTGATATCAAAATTCTATTCTTACTTTCTGAACACAATTTGATTAATCTAAATTTTTCTATAGATACTTATAGTAAAAGAAAAATAAGTTAACTTGAGTTTATAGGCATTATTTTTCTTTTCTTTCTGTTCCCCTGCAAACAGAAATTATTAAAGCATTTATTGCATAGACTTGCATAGTAGCATCTTCAATTGACTAATGTAAAAGGATGTAACTGACTTATATGTATAGTGCTAAATGCTAATGTATATATTTACTTTGTGTCCTGTAGGTCAGTGTTGGTACACTTCTTGCATTCACCGTGGTGGCAATATCTGTGTTAATACTGAGATATATCCCACCAAATGAGATTCCATTCTCCCATTCTCTCCAGGAACCATTTGATTCTGCATCAACACAGAATAGTTGGAGAAGTTTGGAAGCAAACGAAGATCCAAAGGCACATGGTGGTGCATCTGGGAGCAGGAAAACTGTAGTTGTTGAAGAGGATGTATCCATCGATTATCCCCTTGTTGCTAAAGATCCTATCATAGGCAAATGTGAGTAAAATTCTAACAATTTCTCTATCATCAAAATTCCACATATTTCTGTGAAATCAATGCTGCTTAAGTAACTTGCACCAATTGGCTGCGATTATAATTTCTTCTTTTGCCTTTCCTATGTCATTTGACATCTGCATTTTTTCTTCTTGCTGCTTTTTGTTTGTGGTGCAGATGTACATGAGGGTAATAGGAGAAAAGTTATTGCTTGGGTAATAGCAGTCATATGCTTAGGGGTCTTTATCCTCACATTTGCAGCTTCAGATAAAACTATAATCAGGTTGGTTTAGTGACAGATAGTTCAGTTTTCATGATGCATAACATGTGGACATACATGGTCAAATTCAAGATTAGGGTTTATTTGGATAATCGTTTTGTTCAAACACTTTTTTTGTCTAAGAAAAAATAACTTTTTTTTCTTAAATAAAAATTAATTTGTGAAGAAGATAAAAATCATCTTCTAGAAAAATCAATAATTTTTGTTTTCTAAAAATATTTATATAGAGAAATTGATCTATCTCATACTTTATCAACTAATTTAAGATGAAAAGGGGATGATTGTTTTGATTATAGAGGGTTGTGCCACATTAAATTTATGCATTTCACTCATGATAGTCATGCCATTATTAGTTTTATGTTCTTACCTTTTAATTAAGCATTTTATGTTTGGCATTTCCAGTTATGTTCGTTTTGCACTATGTGGAGTTGGTGCCACTCTTCTTCTATCTGGTTTTGTCTTTCTAAACTGTATGGATCAAGATGATGCACGGCATAACTTTGGCCATTCTGGAGGTACTTACAATTAATATCTTATGGTAATAAACATATATTTCTTGTGTGTGAGTGATTATCTTGTTCTGTGTAACTGGGGCTCTTCTAGATATATTTTATGTAAGAACATGTGTTCTTTGCTAGAAAGACAAATTATGAAAATAAAGGTGTTAGGACTCAAATATAAGAGAAGAGTTTAATCTAAAATACTACTCCATTATATGAAAGACTTTGTATGTGGTTTGCACCTTTATCTGGTATATAAAATAGCCTTTTTTTTTAAGTCAGCCTCTCAATAAAAATATTAATTGCTAGGGCTTAAATACAAGAGAAGAAGTCAACGTAAAAAATTAGTCTATTAATTAGGAGAAATTTAAGAATTAGCGTCAAGTAGTTTATTCTACAATGTAAACTTCTAACAAAAGATTATAGGAAGTTTTACATCAAATATTGAAATGAATCACTTTAATGAATGTCTTCCATTAAGATATAAGAAATTTGATTTTTCTTGGAGTATTTTTGTATTTAACTAGCTAACTTTATTACAAGATGTACATGATAACTTAGTTTGATCCCATTTTCAGGTTTCATTTGTCCATTTGTGCCTCTATTGCCGGTGGCTTGCATTCTTATCAATTTATATTTACTTATTAATCTTGGGTAAGTACTTATATTTCAATATGAAAGTACATATAATTTTTCCTCCAATTATTTAAAATTCAAATTATTAAATGTAAAAACTGTTCAAACCATTAAAGTATTTTATTTTATAATTAAGATGTAACTTTTTTTTATTTAAAAAAATATAATAGTTTAAATGTCATGAGTAATAATCTCCCTTTTCAATAATTACCATGGAATCTTAAATTATATATTATTTAATGAAGAAATTATTATAATTACATAAAAAGTTATATATATATATATATATATATATATATATATTTATTGGTGTGTGAGATAAAATTGAATTTATTAGTTTTACCATTTTTGAGAAATTCTTTATTATTAAATAGGTACGAAGAGTTAGGATCTTGGAAGAGAACTAGGGTTTTTTATTTAGGGTTTTGGGAAGAGAGTTAGGGTTTGTTATGAGAGGAGCTAAGGTTTTTTTAGAATAACTAGAGTTTTTTAGAAGAATTAAGGTTCTTAAAAAAAGTGAGCTAGGGTTTGAGTGTCAAAAGAAAGATAATTGGTCTGACAAATGTTGTTGTTGTGCCCTGACTAACCAAGAGGTTAATTATGAAAACTGAAGTGTCTAGATGAAGACCCTCCTAAAAGCCCAAAACTGTTGAAGAATAATAGAGGAAGATTTTGTAGAACCTAAGAACACTGAAGATTTGACGCTCAGTGTACTTAGAGAGTTGAACAAGAATAATGAGAAATACAATGGAGTTCTGTTCACACTATTTCAAGTTGTAGAATGCACCAATTTTCCATAGGACAAAAAATGTTAAATATGCAAAAAAGAACATGAGACGAGTTGAAGAAGAAACACAAGAACGATGACCGAGTAACATGGATTTGACGTCATATACTACGAAGTGAGATGAAGAGCATGAATATAAAAGAGTCAACAAAAGTTTTTCGAATATGACGTTCTTATTGAAAACATGACAAAAACGGAAAAAATATATGATTTTTGGATAAAATATATGATTCTTTTATCTTTGAAAGTTGACATTAATTTAGAATTGTGATTTTTTTACAACTATGAAATTTTATCAATATAAGTTAAATTTTGGACTTCATTTACATTTCTATTTCGAAATGGCCAAGACTATTCATTCATTTGCAAGTTACTTGTTAAATTGAACCACCTTTTTTCAGGGTTATATAATTGTTTGTGGAGTGGTGATATTTTGACAACCAAAAACCATACAACCTTTATAAACAACTCACTTTTATTAATATAATAATCTATAGACTGATTTAATATAAATAAAAATAAAGTAAAACTATTATTATAATATTAAAATAGAGTTGTTTCTAATAGTTGTATGGATTTGGGTTGTCAAAGTATCATTTTCCTTGTTTGTGTTGTACTTCCAGGGCTGCTACATGGACACGTGTTTCTATATGGCTGGCAATAGGAGTTATTGTTTATGTATTTTATGGTCGAACCCATAGCACTCTGAAAGATGCACTTTATGTGCAAACAGCTCCACCCTCAACTTCTCTTGCCTAAATCTCCATCACCTTCACATGGAGCTTGCATGCAAATAAAACTGTCGTTTTAATTGTGATTCTAGACACTAGATGTATAAAACCACAAGGATGTACATATTGTAAGAAAAAAATATGAGGAGTTACCATCATTGAAGTATATATGGAAAAACCCTTCAAATTTATTCTCGATTTACTGTAAAAATGACATTTTTTAATAGATTTTTCATTTTAAAGTTTGTAGAGATGTATCTGTTGTGTTGGATTGCTTGAATCGGAACTCAATTTTTCAAGTATAGATTTAAAGCATTTTGGTGAAGTTCATTTATTTAGATTGCTCGGAAAAAATGGTGTGAAAAAGATTTATTGTTAAGAGAAGATCCTAAATGAGTGTATTTGCTCGGAAATGATATTTTAAATACAAATAAAACATATTTAATCTCATATATATTTATTTTATGTTAATATAGTAATTAATTTTTAATTTTTAATTTTTAATAATTTTATATAATATATATTATCATAAATAATTTTAATATATATATATATATATATATATATATATATATATATATATATATATATATTGTTCAATCTGTTCCCCTCAACAAAAATTTATGCTTCCGCCCCTATTGTTTTGAGGGACTTTAGTTCTAATCATGTGTATACTTTTTATGTTGTTGTAGGTCTTGCTTTTGATGCAAAAGGATTAGAATGTGGTGTCTGTTTTTGACATTCAAAGAATACATAACCAAGTTTTCCACACTTGAAACAAACACATATTTTAAGATGACAATTTTTAACATAATGACCTTATCTACAGTTAAAACATATGAGTTGATTATTTCAAGTTTATTAAAATTTCTTAAAGAAATTGATTGGGTTAAGATCTCCATTAGGACAGTTGTAGGATTTTCCTTTCTTTTGTCTCTTTTTATTTGGATGAGACCCAAAATATTTTAGTTTATTATTTTGAATATTTTCAAAATCCTTCAAAAATATGTAAGGAAATTAGAAATTTTTACTATTTTATTGATTTTCTCAATTCAGACCTAAGTTCATCATCAAATTTTATATACTTCGTTTTGTCATCTGGGTGATAAAGAACACAAAGTATTTTCCTAGCTTTTCAAACTTAAAGGCATACTCTCCTACTGTCATACCCCTTTGTTTTAATTGCACAAACTCTATTTTTTTTCTCTCATCACATCATTGAAAAAATATTTTTCTAAAAATTTTGTTCTAAATACTTACCTAGTAATGATAATTCTCCCCCTTCTAGTAGTATTATCCCACCAATATTCAACCTCTTTTATTAACATTGACACAACATAATTCACCTTTTAATTGTTAAAATAATTCATAACTCAAAATATGATCTCTAATTCTTTAATCGAATATTCAACATTTTATGAGCTATAACCTATGGAAAATTGTGAAGGTTTTATTCTCCTAAATTAAACTAAACCTTATTAGTCCCTTTAGGTCTTTGGTTCCTTATTAACGAGCGGTCATGTCTCTGATAACTTGTACTGTTATTATCAACTTATTGTTTCTCTTATTATATGTTATCTAGAATTATACAAGTTAAGGTTCATGAGATCTCATGATAGACTCATTTTACAGGTCACACATGAAACATTGCTTTGATACCATTAAATATGACATCTCTTTTTCTTAAGTTGTTCAATTAACGATTTTAAGAGGTGATTATTTTATATTAAATCTTAAAAAAAAGTAAGACGTAAGATAAATGTTTATAAATGAAAGCAATGAGGAGGAGATTGATAGAAATGTTCCTACATTCCCAAGAGATGATTTTGATGATGATGATTCAAGTCAACTAAATTCAAGTCAACACCATTCAAGATGAATTAAGGACAAGTTGAATTTAAGACGTTGGTGACAATGTGAAACATTTCCCTACATGCCCAAGATATGTTTTTGATAAAGATGATGATTCAAGCAAGCCCAAGATGCTTCTTGAAGACTAGATAGAGTCTTAGAATACTAGATATGGAGGTACAAATTGATGAAGTAATATTATGCATAAGCCTCCAAAGCACAAGTGTGATAAAATTCATAATATGATATTTTTCACTGTCATAATCAATTATGATGCATCAGAAATGGAAAAATGATTTTCTCTGTCATAATTGATTATACTGGTAACATAATCAATTATGGCAATTCAAATTTAAAAAATATATCTGTTTTGAAGAATAAATGTTTTTGAATATATCCTGATTTTTATTCACGAAAATATTAATGTCCAACGACCATTTTCTGATGCTATTTTTCTATTTAATTAAGTTTTGATAAAAAATACACAATTATAAAATTCGAAAATACAAGTTACATTCAATCAATTTTGAGAAAAGAATTCTGAGCAAGACAACAGAGATATTTTACACCTTTTGAGAAAAACCTCTTCTCTACTGTCTTATGTGCTCTCATTATTAATCATACTTGTTCTTGGAGATTGGCATTCTACAAGCTTCTACAATTTGTTGTCTCCATTACCCAGGTGTGACTGTTCTTATTTTTATTACCTTCATCCTTTGTGTATTGGTGGCAAAGGAGGTGCTTTTCATCCCTAGTGTGATTCTAGGGAGGTGTTCATCCTTAGTGAGATTCTAAGGATGTGTTTTCATCCTTTGATTTGTTCAAATGAGGTTTTCATCCCTAGTGTGATTCTAGGGAGGTGTTCATCCTTAGTGGGATTCTAAGGAGGTGTTTTTTCATCCTTTGATTTGTTCAGAGGAGGTGTTCATCCCTAGTGGGATTCTAGGGAGGTGTTCATCCTTAGTGGGTTTCTAAGGAGGTGATTGTCTTTTTAATTAGTTTACTTTTTACTGGTTCTTCCGCTGAGTTGATTGTAATTTGTAAACTGAATTTGAAAAATAGTGAATTGGGAGTCACTCTTGTGTTAAGAGTTGACTGGGAACTGGATGTAGGGTTGTCTATACCTGAACCAGTATAAATCTTTGTGTGCTTTTCTCTTTCCCTTATCTCTTTCTCTTTTCCTGATTATATTATCGCTTCCCCTTTATCTGTGTTCAAACAAATTATTGACTCACAAATAAATTTTTAATTTGACATCTATTTTAATTTGTGCATCTATTCACCCCCTCTAGATGCCATTTGTCTAACAAGTGGTATCAGAGTTTGGTTAGATAAGATATTTCTAAACGATCTGTCAAGATGTCTATGCAGAATCAGGTTTACAGGGAAGGAGTCTCAATAAATAGACCTCCATTATTTGAAGGAGAAGACTATTAGTTTTGGAAGGTGAGAATGGAAATATTTTTACAAACACTAGATTACAGTGTTTGGGATGTTGTACTCAACGGTCCCTACATTCCGATGAGAACAACGGAGTCTGGAGCTATTCCAAAGACTTTTGATTAATGGACGCCAGATGAAAACAAGCGTGCCCAATATGATGTAAGAGTCCGAAACGCTATTGTTTCTGCCTTAACTCGTAATGAATTTTTCAGGATCTCACAATGCAAGACGACAAAAGAAATATGGGACACTTTTGAAGTAACACATAAAGGAACAAATGAAGTAAAGCGAGCATGTAAGAACACACTCATCCAAGAGTATGAATTGTTTCAAATGCAGCAAAATGAAAGCATCACAGATTTCCAAACACGCTCACACATATAGTAAATCACTTGAAAGCATTAGGAAAGAGTTTTGACAATGAGGAGTTGAACACAAAGATCTTGAAATCCTTAGATAGGAATTGACAACCAAAGGTCACTGCTATTACAGAATCAAAGGATCTCATAAAAATGAATATTGCTACTCTATTTGGAAAACTGCGAGAACATGAGATGGAGCTACAAAGGTTAAAGAATGGTGAACAAAATCAAGCCAAGACGATAGCTCTAAAAGCAGAAAAATATTCACAAGATGAAAGTAAAAATGAAGGTAAGTTTTCGGATTCCGAAATATATCTTTTAGCTAAATAATTTTCTCGTTTTATGAAGAACGGGAAAAAGAGACAACAAAGAAAAGAGAAAACCAATAGGTACGAGTGCTATGAATGTGGAAAGCTTGGTCATATCAAACTAGACTGTCCGGAACTTAAGAAAGAGAACAAAGATGTGAAAGAGAAGAAGAAAGAGAAGAATGATACCTATAAGAGAAAACACAAATCTTACATTACTTGGGTGGATAATGATTCTTCCACAACACTAGAGAGTTCTTCCGAAAGCAATGATGATGAAGAAGAAGCAAATCTTTGCTTTATGACAAAAAGTAATGATGAAGCCTCATTACAAGAAATCTCGTCACAGGTAAGCAGTACAAAATCCTTAAATGAATATGATGAGTTGTTTATAGAATATCAAGATATCTATGAAGGTTTTACCAAGTTATCTAAGAAATACAATGCACTTAGACAAAAGTTTAATGCATTAGAAAATACTGTTGGTATTCTTGAAAAAGAAAATGAGTGCTTAAAGAAAGATGTTGAGAAATTTAAAACTTTGCCTAAAAATAAAAAAGTTGCTAAACATTGTGAAAATTTTAATTATTTGAAAAATGAGATTTTCAAGTTAGAGAAAATAATAAGCAAGTTTTCAAAATCTTCTGAAAATCTTGATTCTATATTAGGTTATCAAAGAGGGAATTCTAGCAAAACTGAACTTGGTTACAAACCCAAAGAAAGTCTAGAACCTTATAAAACTATTTTTGTGAAAGAGTCAAGGAAAACAAATGTGAAACTAGTTTCAAAAACTTTAAGAAACTCATCAAGATCTTTTCAAAGAAAACCAACATGTTTTTATTGCATGAAATTAGGTCATACATCAAATAGATGTTACATAAAACATTTTGGCATATCTAATGGCAAATATGAATGGGTTCCTAATGGAACAAAACATTTATACATGTCTAGATGATAGTTGAGCATCTAATAGATTATGAATTTTCAGAAATATTTTTTTGCTATCATAATCAATTATGTTGATTCTGAAGGTGCTGTGATAATCAATTATTATATCATGGTTA